GAATTGGTATTGCTTCTTGCCTACAATAAATGCTGTTTTCTCTTTATCGCCTTCTTTTATTGGTAGCTGCCAGTAGCCTGAGCGGAGGTCCAAAACTGTAAATACCTTTGCATTCTACAAACGATCCAGTGTTTCAGCTACCATTGGCATAGCACACAGCTTCAGCTGAGTTATGCTATTTAACTCTTGGAAATCAATGCGGAATCTATATTTCCCATTTGACTTGCTTACTTAAAGCACTGAAGAACTGAATAGGCTATCAGCCTCTTCAATAATACCTTCTTTTAGGACTTCTTGAACCTGACGCCCAACCCCTTTTTCCAAGTCACATGGTATTCGTCATGTTATAAATGTTGTCATTGCTTGACTTGTCACTGGGATTTCATGCTGAACCTTGTCACAGTATCCGTAGGGGTCTCCATCTCCCGTGAACAATTTGTCATATTTCCTAACCACCTTCATGATGTTTGGCGCTTCTGGATGTGGTGTTTTTGATACCTCAATCTCTGCTACCTCGCTGTTTTCCTGCGTGGTGAACGACCCGTACTTCGCCGCCACTATTCCTGTTCTCGTGTTAATAACTGCGCACACTTCTCTCAAAAAATCAGCACCTAGGATTGACCGCTGTAGACGCCTGGTCATAGTGAATGAAAATCTAATTTTCCGACTTCCGATCTCGATGAAGCAATCTGATAAGCCTGCGATTTCTAATGCATGTCCCCCAATCGTGTGGACAGTAAGCCCGTATGGTCTTATGTTCTGAGACTGACTGCTATTTATCACCGAGACTGCCGCCCCCACCCCGTATCTATTAAACACACAATCTACCGATCAAATATTCATATTCTAGCATACACAGCACCTCGATCTATGGCTCCTACAATATCTAGTCTAATCGGAAAAACAGAATTCATATTATATCATTCAAAACGTTTTCTTTTTCGACTCTCCGGACAATTTCTTAGCCAGTGTCCTGACTTTTCCCAGGAAAGTTTTCCCAGTTTTCTTTACCCGTGGCGACTCCACTGCAGTATCCACTAGCTGTCTTGTCACCTTGGCAATCTCACAAATGTCCATGGGTTAGGCTGTATTGACTAGTCGCTACTGGTGTGCGATGGCATTCAGGACACTTTCGGTGAACTGTGCAGCCCGCAACTGCTCCTGGGAGCCCTCATCTGACGTGGGAAGTGCTCGTAGAAGTAGTTTGATTAACTTCACAGCCAACACCAGCGGATCTCCGCATATTCCCGGTTTCGTGTTCCGGAACTGCTGCATCACCAGCTCCCTGTCCGCCGGGCTGTCAAACTCTGCCTCCAGTCGTTCAAGCATTCTCTACCAAGGCTTCTTCCCATTTCCACGTTCCGCGCTGTCATACGATGCTTTCGCTCTACCCTTCAGCAAAGTGCCCAGCACCACTACCTTCGGTCCTGGATCCCGAACGCCCACCAGCTGCACGACTGACTCGAAGTCTCTGAAAAAGACTTTGATGTCTCCATCCTTGAATACTCTGGGCTACGGAATCTTCATCACGTCCAGAGGCAGCGACACCAATTGAAGAAGTAAGACGACAGATACGATGGTAATTCCCTATAATTTCTGCCAACCTCTCAACATTTACTACTTTTATCCATTCTTATCAGCAACGCCTACTACACTGGAACTGTCTCAAAAAGTTTTGTGACCTTCACTCAGATTTCCCGAAACTGTATATACAGGTAGCTAGTTAACCCAATGACTGAATTTCCCGTTCCTGTGCAGTGTCGAATTGCTCGACTGCTATTGGCGGATAGGCTCCTATGCAGATGCCTGGATAGTGCTGGACATTCAACTTGGTGACTAGCAGTGAAACTCAGCCTGCATGTTTCGTCCTACTCGGGACTCTTTAGCTGGATTAACCTGCACCCCAGTGAGTTATTTTGTTCACCCTGGGACTCAAACCAAGAACGCATCATTTAAGAAGCTAAAGTGACATCCACTAGATCAATGGGATGCGGTAGCCACATCTTTCGCAACGGGTATCAGTTGTCGTTTTGAAGCCGAGGTAGAGGCACATCCAGTTGACGAGCCCTAAATTAGACGAAATGCGCGTTCTGGATTCTACTACTGGTCATCGAGATGAATATAACACCAATGATTGGAAACTGAACACTTCAATCACTGAGTTACAGCTCCACAAGGTGATATAAGTAACGTAAGGAAACATCGATCGGTTTATATATGCCAGTAGCACAGAAACATGAACTCTTTAGTCTATTGTAAGTACTGAACATCTTCTTACTTTAAAATAGATTATTATTCATAGTGATTCAATGCTGTATTGTGCACGAATTACGGTTCTTTATTTTATAGAGAACTAACTTCTTAGCTGAAATACCGAAACCCGATAGGTAATTTCAGTAGGTGTTGCGCTGGCGTTTAAAGTCACCCATATCTTCTCAGTATTCACTCGTATTGATTAGCTGTTCTACTGGATGATTTGAAAACCGTTGCTAACTGTTGAAATCCACAGACAGCTTTATGAGACGGATAGATTCACAACACATTTGGAAATTCCATCTCAAAGTATGTTCACTTCTTGATTTAAGCTGTGTGTGTGTGTGTGTGTGTCAAAAGTAAGAAATTCACAAATGATTATGAGAGCAGTGAAAGTTGGAGGACATTCACGCTTATAGATTACCAAATTTCCATACTTCAATAGTATTTCTTCATCGATAGAATATATGAAGTGTACCCCTAGTTGTTAATAAACGGTGAAGACTGAAAAGAATCCCTGTGGTTAATTCTTGTTTATCTGTAATGTTCAAGGGAACTCGCATCCCTTCAAAAAAAACAGTGATAGCTATTGACTTCATTCGCTAATGCAACGTAGGTTTGAGATGAGCACCATCAGTAGTAATTGTCTGAAATGCGAAAAACTCCTGACCATGACGTCATGAAAGTATTGGAGTTCAAAAACTTTGACTGCTAAACATTGGGAATTGGTTTAAATTTCATAAGCTCACAAGAGATTTTACTAGAAAAATCTATCTGTAGTATCAACTTTAGGCAAGATAAGTAGTATAGTCCTTTTTGAAAGAGGAAAAGATGTGTAGTTGCCACAGTTTCCTCCTCTGAAAGGTACTGAATATTTGAATAGTGTCTAAAATTGGAGGTCAGATAACTGACAAATGCCAATAAAGTCAGTGTCGATTCATTTTCATCCATTTGTCGGGAAGTGGTTTGAAAAATAGAGTTAATATGAGAAGAATAGATGGTGTGGGATGCAACAATGCCTCTGGTGATTCATTTGACAATATCTGAATTTATTGTAACTGCCACTTAACAGTCAAAAAGTTAGACTAGTATTGATTTAGATCATTTGCCCCACGCTTTCAGTCGCTATTCCTCGAAATGAAATTGTTATAGAAGATAATCAATTCGTTGGTAGTGTGTTGCTTAATCATGCTTTAATCTATGATTAGATGCGTCAGGGAGCAAGTTTCAACAACACACTCTGGATTATATCCGTAAGCTATGTGGTTGTTAGACAGCTTCTCTGCAGGTTTTTAAATGTCGAAGGAGACATAATGAAATGAAAAACCATTGGAGTAAATGATCTTTAACCTTGAAAAGACTTGGCATTGTCTTTCAGACTAAATACGCCACCTTCAGTTATTTCAGTAGGTCAAGAAAAGCAGTAAATCGACACCTTTTATTCATCCACAGGCATTTTTATTCTGTGTAAATTCTGTCATTATAGTTAGTTAATATGACATGCTCAAAAGAAATCACATTGTTTTCCGTAACTTATGTTATTGCCTTTAATACTAACACGTATCTCAATGCATTCCATACCATCACTACACTAACTAGCATAGTCCCTTGATTTCTTTAGGTTTTAATTTATACTACTTATAAATAGTTAAAGACTAACAGTGAAATTATTCTCAGAGTGTCAAGTGCAGGCTAGGGTGTGTAGACCTATGCCCGTGAAATTTGAACGACGGTCTAGATTGAATTCCTTCTACTGCTCAGATTTCGCTCCCATTGTCAAATATCACCGCTATGCACTGGAACTAGTCTACCGACTAAGGTCATTCTAGAAGTCCTAACCCACAGAAACTAGATTAAGAAATTAATTTATAATACAAACAGGGAAAAATGGAAGGAAATCTACGGGATTTTTTCACTACAAATGTTAAGCGGTGATTTACTTACTTGTTTAGTAGTTAGTGTAATTAGACTTGTTGATACACTAAAGTGCATACAGCGAACTGGGATGAGAAAGGTGAGATCTTTTTTGTTCCAGTAGATTTATTATTATTACTACTATTATTTTTGAAGGTATCCTGACTAACAGTGGACTGAATGGTTTGAAAATACTTGGGTACCCAGTTAGTATTATTATTATTATTATTACTGCGAAATGTCGAAAACTTAAACCATGGTGCATACAGTTTGATGCAGGTTCATATGAGCGTGCACACACACACACACATAAACAGAAATACACACCTGAGTGCATTCGCACACTTTAAAGTTCAAATAGATGTAAGTAATATGTGTGGGCATTTGTGACTTATTTCTTATTTGAATAGTGTACATATTACATGCAAATTTATAGTGGCAATAAATTTCCAATTAATAAAATATGTGGTTTTAAATTATATGAACACTAGTTTCTTTAAATATTCTATTATTTGGTAAGAACAAGCAGAAAAAGATGAAATCAATCGATAAGAAGACCTAGCTGACACAGGTTTTGTACTTACCCAAACTCATCAGCAAGACATACTAGTAGTTTTCAAAACTTTCACAATATATATCACTTACTGTTGAAGTCAAAAATTTTATGAGTCAGCTGTGAGCGATACATCTTCATTCAGTGCTCATGAGTTCATGATTGGTTCAAGGTTCTACCATTTCGCAGTACTGATATATTTTCATATAAAAAGCTACACACATACAGGTTAATATAACTGTAGTAACAATTTTTACTGATACTAATCAATAAAATCTACCTGTATTCCAAGATCTGAAGCTCCAGTTTGAGGATTACACAACATTTGTACTTTGATTCGTATATTCGCAAAATCTGCATTTCTATGTTGTTTTATTTTAAAGATAATAACAAACATTTAAAAGGATATAAACAAAAATTATTTGAGTAAATATCGTTTACAGACAAATGGAAAACATCATAACTCCTCATAAAATGGTATCGATCCTTGCATGTATACGAAACAACAAATCATGTGAGGAAGTGAACACATATTTCCTTTTTCTGTAGTATTTACCTATTTTTTTCAAAATATCTTGTTCATCTAAATGAAATCATTAGAATGTTTACGTAATCTGTTTTCAGTTGAACACTTTCATGAAGCGAATAAACCGATTAGATTGAAATTGGCAAAGCAGTGGTATCCTCAGGGCTTTGCACAATGCTAAGTTGGAAAGACAATTTTCCTGCATAAATATAATGAAAATCTTCCCATCAAATATAACTAAATAACAAATAACAGTGATGAACGCCATCAGCTACATGAAACGAAGTCAGTGGCTTTCAGAAAGGAAAAAAAATGCTAATAATTTTGATGACAAATCAGCTGATCCAAGCTGGCGAAGCGCAGGAAATTGTAACAATATCACCTGTCTAGAATTTTAAATTGAGATAATTCAAAGAAGAAATACAACCATCTTATTTCATCGTAGATAATCTCTTTGTTATGAAATGTGTAAACTTCAATTTTAATCCGACTGAAACACATAATGTTAGTACTATCAAGATGTTTGAAACTGGTCAACGACCCTATAATACTCTTCAGTTTCCGAAAAATTCTCATGTGATTGGAGTTGAAGTTAACGACGAAAGTCGAGACTGTTCTCAAAGCGCTGACGGTCTCATCAATGAAGATAAACATTGATTTATTGATATCGTTAACGTTCAATTCATTGACTAGAACAACACAACTCACTTTTAAGCAGAAACCGATGATCAAATATTGTGTAAACTATATTATTTCCCACTTACTGACTTGCAAGGAACGATTCATAACACTCAGTTTTATTCATTGTCATTCTGAGAATAAATTCGCTTTCTTCTTGCTCTTTTCATAAAGCGATTTAGTACTGACGAAATATGCTGTCAAGGAATTACATCAACTTTAAAGTGATGAAACGAGTTTAGAAAGTCCAGAAAATCTTTCCAAACCGATTTCATCTTTTACACTCAGCGAAACTTCAGGTTATAAACAGAAATTGAGGTGAATATCTGTAGCTTAGGGTATAAATGCTAATCAGAGTGAGTTATCCTCTGAGTAACGGTTTTTGCTGACAAATGTTTCAATATTATCGTCATCAGTGCATCACATCACCATAAGGAAGATGACTGAATAACACTTTTGTTTGACACACTGATATCTACCACATCAGTGGTACATGGAACGATGGATTGATTCCCCATTTGCTGGAGTTTCAGTTAAGAATATGAAGATTGATACGATTCGCTTGTTGGAGTAACACTCTGTTTTACGAGTAAATGGTTTCAGCTCTCAGAATTTGACAAACAATTTTCTTCAGAGATTATAAAGAATTTACGCCTCTTTCAAAAGCAGGCAAGCTGGCGCTTGAATCTGATTACCTCCAGTAACCTGTTGACTCGTTGAAAACACGAGAATACTGAACGACATCATGAGGGACCAAGACTAGTATCCTTAGGTCCTACAGCGATTACTTATCATTCAACAGCAGAGTTGGAATCGCATGGCTCACTTACTTCTAATTCTGTCAACTCGAGGTATAGCGCAACCATCGTCCACCGTTACCAGTGGGCCTACAGTCCTAAATACTGATGGAAGTTTGACAATAAAGCGTACAATATGAACATTTGCTAATTTGACACAATATTGTGATACATAGTATTCGAATTTGAATGGTTGATACCGACTGGCAGAAGGTGAAGATCTAGTTAGACTCCATAATTGATGAATGAAACTGATTATTAAGGTGTTGGCATTATATTGGGGAAACTCACGTTTCCTTGGAGATGCAACTCCACTCATTAACAACTAAACCATTTAAGCCATCACTTACTTACTGTAAGAATGATTGGGTAAATGGACTAGTTGGTAGATATGACCGAGTGTAACTGACTCCTGAGATCGTGTACGAAATAAAGTCCAGTACATTGAGATATCAGGTGACAGTGCAAAGCTTGGTTGATTAACGCTGCAAAAACCTCAAACTTATTTATTTACCATGTTGTGATCAATTAGGGTCCACAATGGACATCTCTTACCCCCGATTCCACTCCAAAACTGAACACAGCTGACTCAATGCTTTCAGAAGATGCATTTAGCAGTTCTTCTGTTAAACTGATTGACAATTTACAGCCTTCCACATACTTCTTCTTGAAATGTTTCCAATTACAGGATAAAATGGTTGCATTACTAACCCTCGGCAGGTATTTAGACCTGCCATTCACCATGTAACTGGTAAGATTTCACCAATCATCAATACTGCCTTTTGTCCCCATAATAATAAATATGTCAAGTGTTGCATATAACTTGTTTTCCCTTAACTGGGTGGGGAAGATGACCAGGTCAGTTTGTTTATTCATTTTATAAATAAACAATACAGAAGGAGATAAACACAATGATGCCATTTCACACACTTACTTCATTTGTTCTTGTTTCAACAGTTTTATGACATGATAGTGGAGTGGTTTGAGGATGAATCGTTGTAGAACAGATTCCAAATGAAAACCGACATTGACATAACCAAATTCATTCAACTAATGACAGAAATGAAATATTTTTCGTCAGAAGGTAACAAATAAATGCATAACACTCAAAAAGTATTGAAGTGACATACGTACAAAGGTGTAGGAGGGGAGACCAAGAAAGCGATGATGACAGATGAACACAAAGAAGGTATTCTTCATCACTTAGTCTGTATGATAAAGCCTAGACTTAAGAAATATGCAATTGAACAACAAAATGAATAGGTGAAAACCACTCTCACTGAGGGATTTAAACACTAGACGCAGCCGTTCCGCTTGTCTGAAGTTCAGCTTTCCAACGGTGCACCTGGATCAATTCAGCCCGACTATGAAGTTAGTAGTTCAGTTGAGCTGAACCTGACTAGCTAACTTTGATGGACTTTTATTTTATCATTTCATGGTCCACTGTGAAATATCTCATAATTGAGTAATTTATTATTCATAATAAGGAGAGTAGGTTTTCTGCATACCATATTGATTGCCTACCAACTACTCTTGTTGTTAAGTTGTATATTTCGTTGGTTCATGACCCTATTATGTCATGGAGTATCCTGTGTTTGGCGATTGTCAACCCAAGTCCTGCTGATTCTACAATTAGATGACTGGAACACTACTTACGTATGAAAAATGACACATTGGACTGGGCAGCATAAAAATAAAAACATTTTTAGCCTACGTTTAACAGAAAAACGTGTTCGCAATTCAATAACATATTTTCGACTGCATGCACAACAGGCCTGCCATTGTGTAAGCTGAGCACCTTTCCGTTAGATATAAGTTATAACTGCCCAGTTCGCTCACTTCTTCTTAGACCAAAAAGATAAATGATTGTTCGTTGGACAGTGATTAACTCTATCTAAACGACGTTTCGAAAGTTCTGATCAGAAGCTATGATTCATAAGGTTAAGTCAAATACAAACAAGAACAGATATCAATCAGTGACAGCGGATGAACGTCGAGCTATGTCACCCAGTGAAAAAAACTTATAGCTGAATGGTAATGTGTGCCCTGGAGAGTCCAAAAGTTCTAAGGTTGACCTTGTGTCAGTTTGTAAGTCCGCATTAGTGATGACTCCTAGATTAAAATGAGAGAACTCTGCATTACTCCTTAGTTCTGTAACCATTGACAACTCCTAGTGTTGAAATCAAAGGAACAAAATAAAAATTATATCACAATTACCTTTTCTCTCTCTCGTTCAACAGCTTTCGGAAGACCAAGTTCTGGATTTTTGAGTAGATGATTAGTCATACCATCGATGAACTGACGAATCTGCCGATAAGAAAGTTCTCATAGATATTAAGGGTTTAAAAGAAGAGTAAATCTCTTTCAATTAGTTGCATTCAACAATAAATAGAATTAGTTACACTCTTTTCCCTCTCCAACACCCTTACTAATGAACAGGCTAGTTGGAAAATGTAGGCCGTTAAGCTCCAATCGTTGTCACTACAAGACATTATTACCCTAGGCTTGATTCCATCTGACAAGTTGTGGGTGGGTACTGTTGAAGCGTTCAACACCTAGGATGAACAGTTTCGATTTGGAATGATAATTGTCTTGAAATAATTTTTTCCAGTTTACTGATAAATAATGCAGGTATTATTCGATATCTTTCATCCAACAAATTTGACCCTTAATAATGGATAAAATGAAGTTAAACGATACAATCATCCGTCTCACTACTAATGGACCTTAGTAAAAGTATAGTCCTTATTTGAATAGTTTCGTTAGCCAGCGAAAATATGTGGTTGGATGTCAACGGAAATCATCAAACGATGAATACTTCATTATGTTATTGCTTAGCTTAGAGGAGACGTTATGTATCTTCAACTAGTCTATTTTGGATAACTGGCCCCCATCTACTGCCCGATAAGTAGACGTTATCTAGTCAGTTTACAAGGTGAATGCAATGGCCATACTCCTATAGATATCATAATTGCTGAAGCATCCTTCGTATCAGCCATTTTTATTCTAACTCAAAAAGCCTGAGGATTAACTGCTATTGAATTACAGCCTGACTAACAACCCCTAAATCCTGATGATAAATGTTCACCTTTCTGTTTCTACCAACCAGCAGAATTCACAAAAGCCAATGATATTCACAGTGTGGAATACAACACGAACGAACTATGACACTGGAAATGTGGATTATTGGGTTTTCAGAAAAATGAATACCCTTGGAATTACGACTTTCAAAATGCCTGAAAATCTTATGCACAAAAAAAATATATAAATTGAAGTCCTTGAATAATCTCTTCCGTTGGATTGTCATCATCCTATCACTGAACACTTCGGACATACTTTACTTCTTTATGAAGTAACTGCTGATGAAGTTGGCCAGCATTGATAATAAGACGTTCACAATAAAACCCCAAAGCTGATAAAACCGCCAAACCGATCGATAACAACTGATACCCGTTGCAAAAGAGGTGACTGACTCAGTAGCCTAGTGGATAATGCGATGGCTGTTGAAATCGATTCTCAGTAGAAACACTATCACTCACGGAGATGTAGCCACATTTACAGCTGATGAATCCCAAATAGGAAAAAAATGTGTAATCGTAGATTCCACTGCTATCCACCACCAAGCAGATAAAACACTAAACACCTAAAAACAACCTTTTCGCAATCAATCATATGCTGTATATGCTGAAGTTCACATCAACTTACTGATTGCATTGTTCTATAAGGACCACGTTCACTGCCTGCTTTTGTACACTCCAGAAATAGATTGATTTGTGCAGCAATATGACTATTCGAACCAGTCATTAATCTAGAAAAAAAAAGAGAATTTCATTTATTCAACAACAGAAAGCTGATATTGCAACTTTTCATCTCATCTACCATAGATACTATGACTAGTTGTCCTATTAAATTGTCATAAATAGTTGTAAAATAGTTGAATAATATAAATACTACAGTGTTCAATATATTTAACAATATCTCTGTAAATACGATTGATTCTACGATGTTTGATGTTATCTAGTGGTAACACAAAGAGTGATTATTCTGATTCTAAGAAAACTCTTTAAAGATATTGTGTTTAAAAACTTCACCTGCTTTGTAACTGCATACTGTTAAGATTGAAAGGGGCATAGTGTTGAGTTTGTGGTGAATGTTTGTAGCTCACAGAACTACTCACTCTGAACATATATTATTGAGTACCAAATAATCTATAATCCAAAGTTGATGTTTATTAACTCAGGTAATTGATCATCAACCAATACATTATGAGTTTGAACCCTACCCTATTTGTGAATATTTGATGAGTTCGATGGTGACTAATCTTATTGGTCAGACTATCTAAGATAACCTTGATTGGAGAACTAAATTCAATGTAAGGACATGTCAGATGAATTTGAAAGGAAATTACAGTCACCTAGCTTAACAGCGACGTTGCAGTTATCCCATAGAGTCATCTGTTAAATCCGCAGTACAGTGTACCAATTTACAGAAAAGACATACTTTTGAAACAATCGGAAATAGGATCCTCTGCATCTTTTTAATTTCTGATATGTTTAGTTTTCTCCTACAGTGTTGATCTATTGTGAAATAAATGCTTGTTGCAAATCGTAAAAGTAAAACTTATTGTTAAAGGTTTGTCATTATAAGTGAACTCTTACTTCTACTGTTACTCTGTAGAATGACTAAACAGGCAGTAAACAAGTTAGGTAAGAGATGATGAATATTGTAAACAGACTGTTCTCCATCAAAAAGTTAATAGTAATAGTAATAATAAAGTATTTACTTTATTCTAAGCCATAATTATGTTTACAGTAGTTAATTCTCACCACGTGATTTCTAACCAGAAGTCTACAAGAGTTCAGATAGTTATTCATGATATCATTTATCAATAGGGTTATTGGTGTACTACTTGCCATACTAACAACCGTCAAAATCCTACGCAATATAACGTAGTCTTTTTCTGAAGTCCAAGAAAGAATAAAGAGGAACAATAAATAAGAATAGACAAAACACAGGAGTTAATGAGACGTAAGAGTAGAGGGTGATTTAAACCAAACACTCTGGAGTTCCCTGATGTAAAACGTCAGGCGAAAGATTTTTCTGGAAACCAGTAAGATAAAAGCAGACCGAAAAAGATGGAAAGAAAAGTATAAGCCAAAATGGATCGCGCTTATTACATTTTCAACAATAGAGTCATCTTTAAGACAAGAGTCATTCTAGTGAAGAAACTTACAAAGGTCTTTTCATCGTATTAAGCTGAAATTAACCATCTGACATTTGGAGAGATTAAAAGTGAGGTCATTTAAGGAAGACCAGTGACTAACTTCGACTAGGAAGTTATTAAACTGAGAACAGTCCAAAGAGGAGATGATTGCCATAGATACTGTTAGGTCATCTGTGTACTTAACAAAGTTAGCCTCAGTTGAAGTTAGTAAGTCATGCAAAAAGACAGAGAAAAGGAAAGGAGAAAGAACAGCACCTTGAGGCCCACCGGCTCCACTAAGCAGAGAAGTAGAACTCTTCCGTCTATATAGAGTGTACTGTCTTCTCTCAGAAAAATAAGAATCAAACCAGTTTGCAATCCAGGACTCAGTGTGAGTTCCTGCAAGGTTTTCAGATAAAAGGGCCTAGGGACAGAGTCAGAGACAGAAGTATAGTCTAAGAAAGCAGACCTAGCATAGTTAGCACCTTCGTCTAGACTGGCAATAATATTAGGACGTAACACAACTACTGCATATACAGTACACCTCGGTTTTTAGGCAAATTTATTTAGATCTCTGAAAGCCTCCAAATGAGGTTCAAGTGTAATTGTTAAGCAGAATTATGATTCTCTAGTATATTCAATAAGTACATATTAAATTCTGTTTACAACTCAGTGAGCACAGACTAAAGCAACTTCTCACAAGACTTGTTTCCCTGTTAGCTCTGTCTTCTAAGGTTTATTTACTAATAAGTAGCATGTTTATACAATAACGTAGTCCTGACTTAGCTTCATTCCACTTCATGTCTGACAACACGATAGTAACAACCTGTTGATACCTTTATCTCTTTTTAATTCAGTGACCTTTAAAATGTGTGCACAGTTTTCTTTTCTGTACAAAATGTTGCTTAAGTAACACAGAATGTCAAGTTTGAAATGAGGTCATGTAGGCAAAACATTTAGAAAAACAAAACACCTTTCGTTCTCTCTATAAACATGCCTTAGAAAATATAAACAAGACTATAACATAATGGTCGAAAGTGTACGCTTGAAAAGAGCTGGTGGATATTGAGATTCTATGAAGCAGAGGAAGAGGGAGAAGAATAAGGCGAAAACTAAAAGGAGGTAGTCCTAACAGCATATCAAAGTATATACAAAACATATTCAACGCTAATCATAATTGTACACGTGCCACTTAGAACGAAGACTGAACGTGCGTTGAAAACAACATTATTCCGTTAGTAGGTGTGTATGTGTGTATGTGAGGGAGGGTGAAAATTGCTAATCTTGACCAGTTTGCCCAATTATGACAGCTTACAAATTATACCACTCACCGATTTCAATAATTCATCTATACATAAATGCTTTGAAGGAGATCAGCTAAATTTTGTTCCCACAGGATACTTGAAGCTTGTAAACACACTAGAGGAGTATCGCAGTGGTGGGGTTGGTTCCAATAGTAATGGTAATGATGATAAATAATGGTAGCAGATAGCAGCAAAATTCATAGTGTATATCTTTTTCTGTTCAATATGCACCAGTTGAATGTGTGCATATCATCGAAATTGTTGGGATTACATCATTGTCTTGAATCCAGTAATAATAGTTTCAAGTTAAGATAGTTAACCAACTGTGGATATGTTTTCTTCCAATATTGGCTTATCAAACAGAATCGATCACTGGATGATAAGCGATATGGCTGCGAAGCCCTACATTCTGATTAAAGTCCATCAATCTAGTAGCAATAAACATAATTCCCCAGCGTTGTATTACTCAAGCTAATGCGTGGCATATAGCAAACTTCCCTGGAGACATTGAAGACAAATCGACCCATTTATGTAACCCTGAGGCTTCGTCAGTGAGTGACACGTGTTAGGATCTCCAACAGGACATCGGTATCTTCTGGTTGACAGATTCATTCTGCTGGTGACTAACAACAAGCATATAACTTCGGTTGAGTATGAATTCTTACTGATTGACACGTAACAGTTACTAAACCAGACTGATAGACCTACGTGATGGCATGATCAAGTAGCCTATTTAGACTTTCTCATTAGTTATCAATCACAGCTTCGAAATTCGCATGCCTTTTTCCCAACGAGAAATATATGACTATCTACTGTCCATAAATCCCCGACCGGTTTTCCTCTATGCAAGATACGTGAAGATAAGTCAATTCTTCTCATAATTATGTTGTTAATTGTATCATCCTATCGTTGATTGGACCGAACTGATCAGCGTTTACTGAATTATGGGCTCCTACACGGATGTCTCGATACTGCCTGTGTTTCAATTTTATATTATTGGTGTGTGGTGGCCAGCAATGGAATACAGGACGAGCGTTCCGTCCTATTTGAGACTCGTCAGTTGGATGTGCCTCCCTCCCAATCGCCGATGCTGTTTCCAATAAGACTAACCACTATCCATTAGTAGTATAAAGTTGAAACACAGGGAATATGGAGGTATCTATGCAGGAGCCTATAAACCAATAGAGACTGATCACTTCAACCCAATCAACAATGGGATACAAGTAACAACGTAGAGACTATATCCGTTAGGCTATCATTGCTCAGTAGCCTAGCGGTTGACAAACTGGCGTTCGAAGCGATAAGTCCCGGGCTCAAGTCTTAGGGGAAACAAAATCGCTCACTAGGAGACAGGTATATCCAGCTGACGAGACCCAAACAGGGTGAAAAGAGCATCCTGGATTCCACTGTTAGCCAATATCAATCTTTTATGGTTACCTAGTACACTGATCATGAGGGTCATTTTTATATTTTGATGAATGATGCAGTAGATTTCAAACATTTTGTCAATTTCACAAGCATACGTACACTCTCACAAATATTTATCGCCTTTACAACAGGGATTTCATCACCTACTTATAGTGTCAACAGAGTTTCACTCGAAAAACAATTAGCCAAAACTAATTGAACCGTGGGCTATTAAAAATCTCTACAGGACATATATATCAAGTTTTTTCTTTCAATTCGTTTTAACCACTTGAATATGTCCTCTGAATGTATCATGGACTATTGCACAATTTTAAAATGTTTTCAACTCGCCTTTCCTTGAGTTAATAATCAAACAGAGAAAAACGTCACTTTATTTAGAAGTGGACTTTGAGGTCAACAAAACCACATCATATTTCTATTCCTCAGAGAGTTAGCTTGAGTTGCAGATCCTTGTACTGGCTGAATGAACCACAACCACCAAGCTTACCATCGCGTTACTGTTGATGGATCGGGTGCTAGTCCAGCTAGCTGTTTCCCAATATTTCCTTGTGTACTGTTATTATTAACATCATTCAAATGTAGTAACCATCTCTTCTGAAAATGTTGTTCTAGGAATGACTTTTTAGAAAAAACTCCATACTGTGTCTTGCATATTGCTTCGAATAAAGCGATTATTATTATTATTATCAACACCTGGGATGATCAAAAACTTTGATCGGTCAGACCAAAAAAGTATGTGAGTTACTGAAATCCTTATTTAGTGCTAATCACAGTCTGATATCATTTAGAGAACCATTGAAGACTAGGATATACTGGAAAGTTGTTTCGCACTAGAAGGGACTCCTCAGTAGTGCGCACCCGCCGCACCTCTAGAGGTCAAACCCAGGACCATTGATCTTGTGGTGAGCATGCTGCTATTCGATCAGTGGATAAGGATCCAATGGTCGATATTCACCTGATTCTGTCAATTCCCAATGTAGCACAACCATCATCCACTGTCATCGGCAAATATTTGTCTTCATATCCGGGTTGATTAACCCCAAAGGGTCACAGCTCCTCATTAGGACTTCCGCAAATCTATCTCAAAGCGTGTTACTAACGATGCCATTTAGCGATGAATATCACCTTAGAATCAGTCAATGTGGACCACTGGACCCCGACCCAGTGCCTTTATGACAACGTGCTGGCCCGAAATATGAAGGTCTGTTGTTAGATCGCTGGCAGGGTCGTGGGTGCGCACTGGTGTGGAGTTGCATACTAGGACGAAACAGCTGCCCGATGCTCCCAGGTTTCCAACATTTATCCAACTGATGTAATTCCATGATGAATACCAACGTAAAATCAATAAATAAATCCCCCACAAACTTCCAAATGAAAATTGTGTTTATATGTGATAAAAAGAATTTATCGACTTTTCAGTTGATAGACTGATCGATCCAACACAATACTGTAAACTTAGAATTCAATCGACCATTAGCTAAATTATGTGTATACTGTGTTATCGCTAAGCTTAATAAGCAGACAGTTTAGGTAAACATATGACAGGTAAGAGGAAAGCATGCTAAATGCACCAAAGTGGAAGAAAACAATAAAGTGTAAACACCTCAAGGTCTGTTTACATCATGAGATTTATTTCAGGACAGATAAGCAAATAACTTTCTAAAAACCACCAGTGGATTTCAAGTTGGCGAATCTACAGACCAATATCATACTAGTAACTACTGAAATATCCAATTAGTTTATGGTGTTAATGAAAAAACTGCCTTTCCCTGCAAAAATAGAGAAACCCCAGTGATCATTTCAGTGGTTCACTCGAATTCTCGATGAATTGGAAGATGAATTTCATCATGTGTATAACGCAGTTCCATTATTTAGTCGGCGAAATCTGTTCAGCTCTGAAAGTCTTGCCACAGACTTTATTCTAGTGTTATATAATTAGCACAAAAAGTCTTGTGTTTCAGTGGTCAACTCATCAAATGCGCCACTCATTCTCTTGTTCAGAATGAGTAATTGCCGTTACGGAGTATTCAGTCGACTGTAGGGATAACAGGCTTCTATAAGAACTTCAGATAGATATTCATGAAACTAGTCAGTAACGATTATACAAAACTGACTCCAGACTAATGAAGTGAGGAGACATGAAGCCCATAGGTTATAAGTTTATTTTGATATAAGGCCACGCCTGTATGTTGAGACGACACCTCAGAAACGCATAAAAATATACTCAGGGCTCTTTACTTTTCACTTGATTTATGAGATGCATTATACGGTGAAAAAGTATTATTCACTAGATTATGACGTTTCGGACACTACTAACTATCCATAGACACATACAGATAAGTCTACAACTTCGAGACATGGTTTTAATTGCCCCCCCCCCCCTACATTGTCGTATAGACAACAAAATTTCCTATGCATCTGGAACAAGTGTTAGATCATTCCTGTTGTGCATATTTGGTGTTATTAATCTTAAATGATGGAGAATATCTGTTGCTCACGCGGATGATGTGAGATTGCAGAACACATCATTACCAAGGTTACCAATCCCTCTGTCTCCACTCGACTAGGTTACTTTAAAGGACTGTTACACTCTGTCTCATCTTAATACATGGTTATGTGTAGTTGAGTATGTAACTATATAGTCAAGCCTTAGTTTAAGATTTATAATCCTCCTATTGTGTATCAATTCTGACTTCAGTAAGCATTTGCGCTTGCATACAATAACTGATACTGGCCGACTTACTTTAACCTACATATTTGACTTCACAAAATGTAATCCAGTAAATAGTGTGGCATAACTAATAAATAAAATGAAATGGAATTACATTCTACCACAATATCCAATTGCTACACTTCTGTCAGTTCTCTTTCACTTTAGATAGTGCTAATCAACTTGGAATCCAACTTGAACAAAATCCACTCACCATCCTCTTCTACAGCTTTATTTATCAAGTCAAATAAAGACTCTTCATGAGACGGGCATTTATTTCGTGTGAATTATATGATTCCTGCTTAACTCCAGTTCTTAGAAGTATACAGCACATTTCATACATGTTTAAAATACTCTTAGTTTGTTCACGGTATAACATCACAAACAACTGGAAAAGTTACACAATAATGACAAATTGATGATAACTAGCGTTGTGTCTCGATATTCAGGGATGTGTAGACTCTCGTAATCACAACTTCGTTAGTGTTATACTCGCTATTTATGAAACACTGCAAACTTGTTAATTGAGATCCACGAGATACCAGAAATCAACAGCTACCAGCATTTGACCATCAATCGTGATGATGACAACAAGTTTGTGTATCTCTGGTGAGGTTTTCAATGGATTCCTTTGTGAATAACAAGCTTAATAATAGGCGACTTTGAAATATTGATGGATTATTCATTTGAAACAAAAGGTGATTTCACTCGCATAATAATGACATTTAATGGTCAGCATTGAGATCCAGTGTGTACCTTTCATCCTACTTAAGATTCATCAGATAGGTGCACCAGTATCCAAGCATCTAACGGTTCAAATTACATGGTGTTATTCACTTGCTTATCAAGCCTTGGCTTTAAGTAAATTCATCCGATGAGTCTTAAGCAGGGAGAGTCGCATACTCTTGATTTCTGTCCAGAAAATAATCACGTTTCAATTTCAAGTAGAGTATCAAGGCATCCGTTCAGGTAACCCACTACTTATGGTAATTTAGTTGGTTGTGGCTAGCAGAGGAATCCGTCCTATTTGGGAGTCGTCATTTGGATGTACCTGCACCCGAGTGAGTGATGTTGTCCCTACTGAGATCCGAATCTCGTACCTATCGCTTAAAACCCCATGTTATCCACAATTTCACGCAGGAACGATCGTCATTTCTTGTACAACGGGTATTAATCATTACTGTGTATTGATATACTTGTAATTCCTCGTTGTTTTATTGGATCATTCCTCCATGGCATACTGGATAACCCCTTGGCGTTTGGAGCGATGGGTACAAGTCTCAGGGGAAACAACATCACTCACTGGGGTGAAGATACATCCGGCTGACGAGTCTCATAAAGGACGAAACGCACCTCCTGGATTCCTCTGCTAGCCACAACCAACTAAATTACCACAAATGACATTCAGGCAACATCAAGGCATCCACACAGGAGCCCATATGCCAATAGAGGTCGAACAATTCGATCCAATAAAACGACGGGGAATTACAAGTATATCGATCAATAATAATAAGCAATACTTATGGTTGGGGAAATGTTTCCATCGATGGAGAATGATTTCCTGCAGAACTGAATGGATGACAAGTCAAATAAAAGCTTAAATTTGTAGAAAGAAAAATCCTATGGAGTGTGAACTTACCTAAATCTCTTACAAAATACCAGCTTATACCTCTGATGATTTAAAAGCAAAGTACTGGACTTTTGGATGACTGGATTTCGATTCTGCCCAATAATTTCTTTGGCCTTGGTTATTCAATGTTAAAATGCATGTTTATATCACTATGAAAACACCTTGTTGGTTACATTACTTATAACTCTCTAACTACAAATTAAATTTTGAAGGCGAAGTAGAAATCTGGGCCATGGCAGGACCCAAGTCAGTGACCTCTGGACTATTGGCTCAGTGACCAACCAATGGAGCTACGAGTCCTAGCTGCAAGGATTTTTGCCCGGCTGCCATATGGATTCATGGCGCGTTACTATCGGTTGGTTGCACTCACTCATACTGGCTGCTCTTCTATGAATTCTCATCCCAATCCCAATTTATTTGAATTGGAGAGAGGAAGTATCTTATTGATTATCGGTTTCACTATCTGAGATAGCACCCAGCCGAAACCTGAAAGTCTCTGGGTCAAATCCCACCGCAGTCCAGATTTTCATCTTATCTTCAGTCATCACCTAGCATCAATACAAATCTGGCAAACCATGGCTACCTCAGTTAAGTCAAACTGGAAATGAAATTTTATCGAAAGACACTAAATGTGTTTTAACAGTGGGAGTTAATAAGTAACATAATTTACCTATGAAAAAACTTTTTAATGTATCGACCAACTTTCTTTGATTTTCGGGGAAGATCACTGCTGCAATTGATATCTGCACTATCATGACGTTCTGATGACTTCTGATATTGTTGTTGCAAAGGGTTATGATGGAGGTTATCCGATTTCGATTGATTTGCAGTCATTGACTGGAGTGATTGATTTCTTACTGTTGAAAAATTTACCTCCATATGATTTTGGTTTACTGTTGATTTACTCTGTATTATAGGTGAATAAGAATCAGAAGAATTCCACGAAGAAATTGATGTCTTCGAGTCGACTGATGATGTTGATGATGATGCAAGAGAGTGTGTTGATGGCGAAGACGGAAGGACGTCTTCACCTGCTGACAATGGGGCAATACATTGTCCAGTGTGTAAGCCACTGGTATAACCTTCATTTTTATCTAATGATAAATTTTCTAATTTTTTTAAATTTATCAATTCACAGTTCTGTAGGGCATTGAATAAATCAGGTCGGAATTGGGTTGCGCTACAGTCGACAAGTTGATCTTCACCACGTAAGTGTTTCGGTAGAACTTGAGCATCTGTATATTCACATTCATAAGGAATTTTTTAAATACGGAGAAATAAAAAGTTGAATATTAGTTATTCTGAGCAACAGAGCTCTGTACAACATATACTAATGATCAAAACGAGTGGTTTTAGACCGAACAGACCATGGACCTGATTCGATATAACACTTTCATTGATCCAAAACAAAGTTTTGAGATATTGCAATCTTAAATAGACCTGAGAATTGCAACCATATTCATACCTTCATAACTTATTCATCCCTTACCGTTTTACATAATTCTATGAGGGTGAGTCAAAGAATGGCGTATATCACTCTAAACATTTGTATACAAGTGAAACTCACTTAACACTCCCATGATTATTCAGCACACTATAAATCATGCATCTTGTATCAGTTTTAAATAAACAACCTTCTAGTCAAAGTGTAATTTGTTACAGACTAAAGGTTCAATGACTAAGGATAAATACTCAGAGTAATAAGCTCAGTTTCATACACTTGCTTGAGGAATTCACTCAGAAGTTGGCCAAGTTTATTTATCAAGACTGCGGGGAATGTGAAGTCATGCTTCAATCAAGGATTTATTATTACGAATTCGAATTCAGGTATGAAGAAAAGCATACATACCAAATAATGATGTTGCTGAGATGAGGCAACCTTGTCTTACAAGAGTGAGACAAGACTGCCTACTATCTTCCATGATCTTACTGGTTGTGGTCAACTGAACTGAACTGGATCATGCAACAAACTGTGAGGAGCGAGAAGATGGGCACACGCTGGCCGGATCGATGAAAAAACCCTTGAAGATTTGGATTTCGCCAACGATGATGATTAATGTCTAATTTCCTGTCGCACAAACTAGAAGATCTACAGGTGAAAACTAACAAGTTGACAAAAGCGGCAGCGAAGACAGGGATTCAAGTGAACATAGAGAAGACAGAGGTGATGGAGAATCCCAACCAACAGCAATCACAACAAGCACCAATCGCCATCAACGAGAGAAATCTAAAGGAAGTTGTCTCTTTCACCCACCTAGGCAGCACCGTCTCAACCACAGGTGGCGGCATAGATGCTGACGTCAAAGTCAGGATCGGAAAGACAGGATGACAGGCCTTCATTAATCTGAAATCAGTGTGGAGATCTATTGCACTCAGCATAAAGAATAAGATGCGGATTTTCAACACCAACGTTAAGTCAGTGCTTCTGTATGGTACAGAGACTTGGCACGTTACGAAAGCATTTCCAACAAACTGCAGACATACACCACCAATAGCGGCTACCTACACTCACTCGATACTGAAGATAGAGATCAGATGGCCAGAATAATAAGAATAATCAACAAAAAATTCTAGCCTGGCAAGGAACCAACGAAGCAAGAACCCATCGCCCAACAAATATGCAGAAGAAAATGAAGATGGATTGAGGATACACTGAGGAGAGCACTTAGGGACATCACGCGCCAGGCCAAAAGCTCAAGTGGAATCCAAATGGGAAACGAGTTGGGCGTGTGAATTCGGGGTGACGTGAACGAAATCGTGTGAGGAAGAAATGAAAGCTTCTGAGGAGTTGTGGAGACAGGTTAAAAAGACTGCAGAGAAGAGAGTGAAATGGCGATGTGCTACTGAAGCCCTATGTTCCACTAGGTACCCAAAGGACAAATAATAAACAATAATAACCATGAGATGAGACTGATTTTCAGTAAGGTCGCTTTTAAATAACTTGAATGTTACTCATTGGTATGATTATGTGAGTGAGTGAGCGTGTAATCAAGAGATTGTAGACACTTCTTGCCATAAACAGCTAATTCTAGTGATACCACGAGATGGATACCCTTAAGTTTTACTGAGAAGCTGCAACCTGAGGGGTCAAATAATTAGAAATAGAAGCGGATGTCCACTGATGATACTGGATAATAACCATACAATATCCGGAGTCGACAGAAATAGGAAAATGTGGGTTATTGGATTGCAATTCAGTGTCTTGATAACCAAATGCTCACCGCTAGATCTATCCCTGGTTACATCTTGGGTATCCACTGCTGAGGGGTCTCATTCTAGGATGAAACACCGATCCAGTGTTGCCTGGTTTCCAATCTTTCTGGAACTTCTGTAAGTCCCATGGTGAATAAGACATAGAAACTAATCTTTCCCCCAAAACCCTCCAAAACAAACAATTCAAATATGTTTTGGAAAACTGTTCCATACAAGGATAAGTTTAACCTTTCTTAAATCATTAATCCAACCGTAAAAATTCTAGTAATATCCTATGTCTAATAACAATAATTTTCAATAAACTACAGACATTCATCAACAACTGCTTACGCTCGCTACTAAAGATCATGTGGCCAGAAAGAATAAGCAACAAGGAGCTCTGGCCGGCTAACGAACCAACCAAGAACGTATCGCTCAACAAATATGCACTGGAAGGAAGTGGAGGTGGATTGGACTGGGCATACACTGAGAAGGCCGACTGAAAACATCACGCGTCAGGCCAGGCACTCGGGTGGAATCCCCATGAGAAGCGACGAGTTGGACGTCCCAGCTGAGGGTGACATGGAGGAGATCGTGCGAGGAGGGAATGAGAGCTTCTGGGCTGTCGTGGAACCAGATTCAAAAGATCTCAGAGAACAGAGGTCACTGGAGACGTGCTACTGAAGCACTATGTTTCATTAGGAACCCAAGAGACTAATAATAATAAATAACAATAAGCTTTTACATAAAATCTTTCTGTACAAAGATTAGTGTTTGCTGTTTGTTCTCGATTGTTAATTTGATATTTTCAGTTCTTATGCAGTGCTACAAGCACTTGATTACCCAAGCAACTTAACAGCCTCATTCCCTTGTGAATGGTAAACAGTATACAGATAGAGTAGAGAGTAGAGAAAATTTCATTTGATATTTAAAATATTTTACGCTTGCATTGAAAGTCGACAGTTTATTTGTATCAAGTTGTTATTCATCGTAGACTGACATCAGTTGGAGGAACAATGGAAACCTGGGAGCACTGGACAGCTGTCTCGTCCTAGCATGGGACTCCTCAGTAGTGCGCACCCACGACCCCACCAGCAGGGATCAAACCCGCGACCTTCAGGTTCCGCGGCCAGCGTGTTACCATTGAGCCACTGGGTCAGAATCCAATGCTCCATATTTCCAACTTCTGTTAGCTCACGATATTTGTAGCTTATACATTTCCCACTAGTGTAGTCTCAGCTCAGATAACAGTGACCTCATTTTTTTTCTTCAGTAAATAACGAAAACTGGCTGTCTAACTGTGTATATCTGTTAAGTGTAGTGATTGATAAATTAGATAACTTGATTATGTTGAGGAAAACTGTAATTCACATTTATTTGTTACCATAGAGATAAGAAATGTAAAGATATTGTTTTGAATTGTTTGTTTGTTTTAGCTGATGAAGTAAGTCTTCATATAACTTAGAGAAGATGGTCTTTGCATAGGTAATGTTAGGTGGACCCAGATCTGCAAAATTACTATTCTTCTTTTTTTTTACATATTTTTAAATTATCGTTTTGCACCTTTTCTTGATGTATAGCGAGTTATTCACTTCTCCCCTCCTTTTCCAAGGTAATTCACTGATCAGTTGGCGTTTAGTTTTAATATGTTATTAATCGAAATTCTGGACAAGGTCATATATCATGTACACATACACGTGTTATTTTCGGTCTTTTCAGAGGCAATAAACTCTCCCAGCTAAACCAGTCTTCGTTCCCTCTCCTTTCCTCTGGGGTTATAGAGTCGATGGTATCTGGTGTATTAGGTGCTACTCAGGAACATGGTCAATAAGCATGATGAACGTAACTAATAAAAATGATTAATAGGAATTGGAAAAATAGCGAGGACAGGGAAGAATAAACTTATGTTGTTTATGCTACTGATATGAATGCGTTCAAGTAGTATATGCTGAGATTTGTATGTCATAGAAGCAGATGACTGGCTGTTAAAAGATCTGGAAATAGAATCATAGTATGTTGGTTAACAGACTGTAACACAAGATGGTTAGATGCAAGAAGCCAGAATATAGATAATCATTGCATAAATAACGTGCATTACTGACAAATTTAACATCAACTTTGTCCCTGGTCACTTGAATGACGGTCAACACTGAGGAGAAGTTAGATACTTGTATCGTTTTTATTTAGTCCACTTTCAACAACACTATTTCCATACTGTAGAGGTGAACGGCATACAATACTTCACATATTCTTCTGTTTTTTCGATAAACTGATTACCTTCCTGTCCCAGAAGCAGTGTAAATTATCGAAAAATAATCAGCTAAGCGTCCTATTTATCTTTTGAAAACTCTCTGGGAATTGGCCAGTCAGAAATACTGCAGCTAGGTAAGTATATGAAATAGTCAGCTCAACAAACGATTAAACCTTCCGTGATATTGGCAAATATTCACGCAGCTCACCTTTAAGGAGTAAGTGAATCCTTATGAGCAGCGGAAATCCTTATACGTCTTTGCTTGATACACCCACGAGAACCTTCAGAATCTAACCTTTTTCACCTAAAAACACAATCCTGTATGAGTGATGCAATCCATTTGAATTTCTTCAGAAATGGAGTATACTGGATCATACTGAAGAATATAAGGATGTAGTTCGCCATGATATTGAATGCTATCTACAAGGTGTCTAGACATTTCTGCTTAGCTCGTAATTAAAAGATGGTCCTTTTTAGTTATCTCAAACTACTGGAAACCAAAGAATAGTTGTCAGTTATTCCACCGTGACTTGAGACTCCATAGGAATGAGCAAGGTTGAACGGAACTTCACACCCGTAGTGCATAATTGTTAACATTTAACAGAGTGGGTATCAGGATCACTGAAAATGAACTTCCAGACTGTTATGACTAGGCATAATTCACAGAAATAAAACGACTAATAAAATTTGGTGGATTTTATTCTTCAACTTCTTTACTTCACTAATCTAACTACCTTGAATTCCAGTCATTCATTTTAGTCACATGATATCTTCTTACGAAATGACCAATCA